AACTAACCTCGACCACGTAGTAATCGTTTAACAGCACCAAGAGATCCTCCCAAACACAATGCACTGGGAAAACTCTTCTTACAATCCTTCAAAAGAGCAAAAACTAGCGCTCACACATGATTCAAATCAAGAAATGCAGTCCCAATAGAAGCTTAATACTCTAACACCTATGGCATTTGCTAATAGCTCTCCACTCATATCAAAAGAAAGAGTCACCTCTAAGCGATCAAGCAGATTCTCTGCAACAGCATCGACAAAGGTGTCGGTTTTATGACGAGACAGCCACGCCGCTCGGTCACGCTGAGTCAAAATCGGAACACAAAAGGTACATAAATCAGAAAGAAAGAATCGAAATCTTGGTTTTAAAGGAAAAAACGAGAGATGAATTCGAAGACTACACATGTATGCGCTTGAGGTCTCGATCGAAGATCTTGACCCTGGAGCTGTTCTGCTCACCGCCACCGCCACCGCCATAAGCACCGTCCGTAGAGAAGGAGAGAGAGGCGAGGAATGTATTATGAGATTGCTTCGTAGAGTTTTCGGGTACTCTCCTGAGAAACCCAATTCGTCCGTACAATGAATTGATCCTCCGCATCTCTCTCTCTCTGGTTATTAACTTCACGTTGGTCGGGGGTTCTGGGTTTGGTTTGAAGAGACAGACGGTAGATTTCTCTCTTTCATTTTGGTCCCTAATATTTAATTAATATTATATAATTCTTCTCTTGTTTTTTAATTTCACAACTTACCACATTTAACCTTAACACTGTTAAAAGTTTTTAACTAATTTTTTAATATTAAAAATATTTGACACCTTCAAGATCCCATGTCATTAAGTTCTACCTAGAGAACTTTTTCATCAAAAATTCATTAAATTAAATGATTTTTTAATCATTTTTAGTGTAAGACTCTTAGAAAGATCACCATTAGTTAATGATCACCATTTTTAGTGTAAGATACTCTTAGAGCATCATTATTACTGAAATTTTATGAGTGTCTTAGATTAAACAAATAATAAATTCTAATAAAAACATGAGAGTGTCTAAAACAAACATGAAACGTTTCTGTGCGTAGAAACTTAAAACATGAGTGTTCTCATATGTCTCTTTTATTGGTCTATTTTTTTTATTAATTTGATATATAATTATTTAATAAAAATAGAAATTGGTAATATTGATATTTTAGTTATCTAGACCCTTTACAACACCTTAGCAATAATGATGCTCTTATGTTAGTCGAGACTTAGAGACCATAACTTGTCTCACCAAATCGCTGGTCGGAGATTGTTATAGGGAAATAAGTTATGGAGATGATGACACGCGGAAGCCATTCAACCGCTGAGATGAGTTCAAATTAAGAAGAGGAAGTGATTAAAAGAACGCAGAAACAGATTTTGGATCGGAATCGAAAATTGTTGTTGAATTTGTTCTTGTTAGATTTTGTTCTTCTCTGGAATTTCCAGAAGAATTGCTCTTTTGAGGTTGTATCGTTTCTTTGTTCGTCGAGAACATTGATTCGTGTCTCTATCAATACATATAATACATATATGGATTCTTCACTGTACAAATACCCTTATCAGAGATTCTCTCTTGTTCAATTGTTTGCATTCTAGTTTTTGTTCACGTAGGTCGTGTGTTTGAGTTTCCTCTCTGATTGATTCAAGAGTTATTCACGACTTTCGCTTTGGATGTTCTCTTATCGTGTTTTTATATATTACTAAAAAACAAGAAACCTGGAAAAAGTTGCCACTCGAAACACTTTGGGGGAAAATGTACAAGCCAAAACCTTGAAGAGACTTTTGTAAATAACAGACCCTAAATACACTTTAAATCTGAAAGAGATGCACACAACACGAGTGATACCGATGATCTCTGGATCTACATGATCACACACGAACATGTCCTTTCTCGTCCCGTCTCCCATTCTTCATCTGATAATCCCATCTCACTGCCACCAAAATCAAATTTGTTTCTTGGAAATCAGTAACCAACCGAGATGGAAACAATGCTAAAAGGTCTATGCAAAAACCATGATGCCATAACAAATCATATATGTATCAAGTTTGCCCAGTACAAATCACATGGAATTTTGAATGAATTAAAAGGATTTGCATTTTGGGGGCACAGAGGTTAAGTTGCAGCAGCAAAATTCAAGCTCAGGATCATATTTGCATAAGGAGAATAAAACAACGGACCTACTTATGTTTAACTGTATTGAGGTTTAAGGTGGAAAACATCACATACCTCGGCTCAAATTCTCTAACTTGAGTGAGTTCACTACCACAAGCATCTGGCCACTGCACTGTCCGCCTTCCCATGTCACCAATGAGATCGCTACCATCCACGCTCAATGTCTCGTGTTCTTTTATATCCTCAAGTGACCGTGATTCCACGACAGACGGCCTCTTCAAGCTACTCCTCAATGAGAGTTTGAAAGCTTCTTTGCTGCTGTTATCAGCTTCACTACTTATGTGGTCTTTGCCCTTTTCAGAAACAACAACAGACTCTGTTGATGATGATATTTCACGATGCTGCTGCACAGGTTCTACTTTAAGAGGACATGGTGGGGTCTCAAGTCCAGCGGAAGCGCCACGAAAACAACTGAAGGAAGCGCAACCGCGGGAAACTCGGCTCTTAACGGAATCCAGCTGAAGAACAGGGTCAGCCTCTTGGTCAACCACCTGGTACTGATTCCACGGCACAACTCTCATGGGCCTATCTCCGTCCTTATCACCAGAGAAAAGAAGGGTCAATCCCTTACTATACCCAGACGCGGACGCTGAGAAGAAACCCCCTCCTTCTACTGCCAGTAACATTAGTTGCTCTATTCATCTGGCGTACATGACAATGTCCACCTTCCTGCTCAACCCCAGGACCAAATAGTAGAAGTTTTCTAAACCTGTATCAATTAATAGTTTCAGATATAAGAGAACTTCCCAAATTTCGGATCATAGATTCAGATATAAGAAAACTTTCCAAAATTTTTTGGATCGTATGAGGCAGGGGAAGCTAACAAAAACAATCAAACTACAAAAACTGAGAAATCCACAGTTATAGCAAGACCTGTTTCTCAATCTATGGATCAATCGGACGCTAAAGTTATATACAGGAAACAGGATTTGATCAGCTCTCAATCACAGAGGAGAGGAGATCTAAAAAACGCCGAGATTGAGAGAAATCGCAACAGAAATAGTGGAAGGAAACGTAATGCGACTGGATCTGAAACCGAAGAGATTCAAAAGTTTGTAGATGTAGAACAAACTCGTGAATGGTAATGATACTAAGAAGATCTATATCAAATTTCGAATCAAGCAAACAAATGAAAGAAGAAGACAACTATGATAAGTTTTAGACATGCACAGAGCTTCAAAGGCACCGAAGAATACGATGATTCTCAAAAGCTCGTCGTCCTCGCTACTAACTTTTACTCAATTTTCGATCAGTGGTTTTCTCGGGGAAAGGAGTTGAAAAACGGAATCTAGAGGAGGAAGAAATTCACCTGACGGATCAGCTCCGGGATGACTTTGGTCAGCGCCGGCGATTGAGATCGTCACTTTCTCACTCCCGTTTCTCGCGTGAATCAAATCGGCGAT